GTGCATGTTACAGATATAAGTTTATATAAAAGTTCGTAAGGCGTATTTGAACATATTCGTATGATAGCTTACGCATACAAGCCATGAATCATTACTTAACTACTACTACAGCCCAATTTTGTTCCTGTTTTCAAAAGGGAGCCAGGATTGCTTTAGCTTTGCATTTTGGTATAGAAAACCTCGGGCTAATCTCCTACCTATGCAATGCAAAGCTAAAAACAATGACAGATTACAACGGTTTGCTTATTTCTCTTTTAATTCTTAATAGTTCCTGTGATATCATATTTTGTTCTGATTGGCTGTCTATATTGTTTCGGTTTGACAACACTCTTTGAAAAAGCATTCTATCAACGTCATACTACCAAACATCTTATGGGAAGCGGCTGTAACGAGATTCAAAAGCAATTTCTTCGATTTAAGAAAAATTTTCCGAGAAACCAAAAGTCTATGTTTAAAAAAACAAAACAAAAAGCAGCCACAACCAATAAAAGACAGAATCCTTAAAGAAAAACAAAAACTTAATCTAATACTCACAACTCATTCTAGTTTAAGTAGATTATTGGAACTTAGAATAACCTATTCATGTTTAACCCCAAACCAGTATTGCTTTGTTGAAGGATCCGAAGAGGAGCAGCGGTGATTCGTATTTATCGCTCCGGAATGATACTGTCCAAAATTATTTTCGTTGTTAACTGCTCCTGGTGACCCATCAAAATCGCATTCGTTTTCCTTGCTTTTGAAACTGTTCACGAACCAACCACCATAAAGATCCATCTTGTGTAGGCGGTGCAATCAGAACAGTTAATTCCACGGATGTTAATGTACTCAAACAGTTTGCAATCTCCACCCCAGTCCCCGAATATGTCATGACCTGCCAGAACAACGCGTGCGTAGTCCGTATACTGCAGGCCATCTGCAGGTAAGTTGCATGTTACTCTCAGATGTGTGGAGTGATTTGAGAGAGACTGAATATGTGATAAGGAAAGGCGATAAGAGTTCCAGTCCGGTTCATTGTTATTGTCATTCACAGGGAAATCCGTGCCAAACCCCTTATCCTTATATGTGGCCTTATTGGCGATGGATAAGGACTGTATCAGTGCCCATACAAAGCCAGGTTCTGACTGCAAGTCATAGTAAATAGAAAACGGTTTATTGGCTGAATCAAAAATACCGTATTTTTCTGATTCTGCGGCTCCGTTGTTAGCGATCTCTTTGCAGTTTCTCAGTGGATGTGTAGTCTTACCACAACGCTTACCAGTGTATTTGTAAGAACAGGTGCAGTTTAACCTGGGGCTGTGGTTCTCACAAATCTCCTGACATACTCCCCCGTTGAGGCTGGGATTCTGGCTGCAGCATCTATTAACGCAGCGATGTATCCCTGGAATGTAGCTTTCTCCACCCTAAGGTGGGTGGGGGGGGGGGCAGACGTACAAAAAAGAATTGGTCTAAGCTTGCCTATACCAAGTTATGGATGCACGCGGGAACTAAGTTTTAAGAGCACGAGAGAAGCGTAAGAGTTGCCTGAGTGCTCTTCAAACTTCCCAAGTCCGTCCATAACTCGATACACGCACAGCTAAAGCGTGAACAAATTTCGTTATAACATAGCATGCAGACACAAGTTGTGCTCGAAAGAAAAGAGTTTATTACAACTTTGTCGGATTTACCAGGTAATCGTGTTCTACCCGAAAACTATGAATAAATGACAGGTAAAAGCGCCCAAGAAATATTTTGAGACCAAATCTTTATTCAAAGAATCGTAAATTTTCTGCTCTAAAAGCAAAAAATTTACTAACTAAAAATTGTTTAGCTTTGATCTAAAAAATCTGAAAATCGTACGATTTCTAAAACAAAATCTCCTATTAAACAAAACTTTGGTACATATCGACGCTTCAAAATAATATTTTCCGTTCTAATGAAGAGTTTCCAGCGTCGCAAAGCCTCAGTTGAAGTCAGAAAACTTAGTTCTGTTCCATAATTCTCATCGCGTTTGTGAATAATCTATTGTCAACTCCGAAACTAATTACGTCGCTCGAAGAGCTACATGCTCACTGTTTTTTTCGAAACGAGTCTTATTCAGCATATTTTGTTTTCATTTTGAGCTACAAAGGTCTATCTCAAGCGGGACAGAACGGAAAAACAATCTTCAGTGATAGTTTTGAATTCTCGAGGCTGAACTAAACGGGACTTTTAGCCGAAGTGAAAATGCACTCTTCATGTTATGGATGCAGCGACGAGCACCAAATATACATTCAGTAATTTGTTATATATTTAAACTTTTCCGTAAACAGTCATACGACAAAAACATGCTGTTGTATTCGGCGCGTGGGTAACAACCGCCCAATTGTATCCCGGTCGGATAATAGACAATTTTATCAACAACTAACGATTCTATCTCTCACCTTCACCGTGTAGCTTCTCACCAAGTCAAAATAATATCCTCCTTGACTCCATTTCATCGCCGCTGGCTCCATGTCTTTGTTAGCGTCGTTGAGCTCACAGTTATTTTCTTTAGACAGAGGGAAATAATTCATGAATACACACAGGCAGTCATCTTTGCACTTCAAGTGACACTGGGTGGCGCTGTGGACTGTTAATCTTTGAAACACGTGACCCTCAAGAATGTGATTATAGACGACATCCTCATCGATAACAAACTTGAAGTTTTGACAATTTACTGTTGGCTGCGCCTCTTTGGTGTGAGTGAGCTGAGATACCAACAACATCGTTTGTAGATAGCGAAGAACACTCATGATGGACCTTAAAAACGTACAAATGAGATGGTTATCTTAATTCCATAATTATACCGAGGCATTTAAAATTTAGTTAGGAGCAATCGGAGTCTACTTAGAAAAAAAGGCAAAAAATCGTGAATAGGTACGTGATCGTACTATGGTGTAAACGCGACTCGACCTCAGGTTACGATCAAGATCTTAACCAGCGTCTTAAAATGTTTCCTTCGTTTGACGCGAAAGTGATTACGTAGTGCTTATTAAGAAATGGACCATTGTTCTCCAGGATCGAATATCTCGATGACAGATTAAATAACTAATATAAAAAATTGGCCGAGATTGAAATGGAAATCTGAGGTACAGTGTGCATGGCGCACCAGATATATTTTGCTGTGTTGATGGTAGAAAAAAGTGACTTATCGAATAAGTCATGACGCATGAGTCTTGTTCAATCAACGGAGTAGAAACAAATTGCATGTTGTCTCTTCTCTCCAGTAGTTCAGTAACAAACTTTTGGTTTTAACTGAGTACCATCTCACTGCACTAACCTTAAAATGTCCATTGTTTTATGGCTTCAGAAAATCCTTCGAGAAAGATTTGCGGGCGAACAGATGTTGTTGAAACTATATGTATATCCGGTAATATCGATGCACCTTTATACTTGAAAAATAATAGAAAAACACGATAATGAATCAATTAAGATCATTTGCTCTGTTTAAGACGTTACCTTGAAGTCATCCGAAATAAACAATGGATAAGATATTCCATTTCTGTTGACACAGAATTCAACGGAGAGTATTTCACAACTAAAAATTTGCATCAAATAACTGAAATAAGTCACGTTTACAGCGATGATCAAAATTTGATTAACCTTTTAAATGTCGGGAACTTTTAACGTTTCATGTCAAGAGTTCTCAACTTTTCTGGGACAGTTAAAAAAGTGTCCCTCTCACCATTAGCTTTCTTTTGGCTCATATTAACAATGTTTGTTTTTCCGAAGTCATTAACCACGCACCAGGACCACTACAGCAAGCCATGACAAAAAAAGGTCGGTGGAACAAAGGTTGTTTGTTGCCATCCACCGTTTCCTAATTAGGTAGAAATGAGAACTGTCCAACATTAAAGAAACAATTTAAACTACCAGTGACCTCCTGAGCTTAAACATACCGCGAGAACACTAATTGATACCGACAACAATAACTAAGACGGTAGTAATGGCGTAAGTTCAGAAAGACATAGCTGAAACTAAAACTACCGTCACACCATCGCACAGCTGGTTTACATACTTAACGAAAAAAGCTACACTATGTTAGTTTAAAATCGCGATCATTTTTCTCCATTACAAATTTATTCTTCGCAGGGTATCGATAACCGAAGCAATCTTTCTTCGATTTCGAGTTTGTTTCCATCCAAATTATATTTTTCTCATCCGACCCCATCAGGCTCCATGCGTCAATATGTACTTCATCATTTGACCGGCAAGACCACGACAAAAAAAAAAATTCTACAGGAAAATCTATGACTTTATTTATTCGAGTCTTACAATTCATTAAAAAAGCGACTTCTTTCAATATTTCTGTTTTGTTTTCTCATTTCCAACGTTAGAAGTAATGTTCTTGGAAAATGTGACAGAATCATGCGACTGCATGGTGAAAGGCTATTCGGGAGTTTAAGATTTCACAACGGCGACGTGTGGTAAAATGTTGCTGAAAAAAATGTTATTTATGTTCCACTAAGTTTCTCACCAATAGCTCGATGTGTTAACCGTTTCTGATGGTACGACATCTTAACTTCGGCACAACATGGGAATGTGGTGACAAGTTCAAAGTAAAAAAGGTGACTAAATTGCCGTGGAAGTAACCTTGTTGAGAGAAGGTATTAGTTGGTGATTTCACGTCTTTTTTCTGTATGCGAAGGACGGCTGAGAAATGTACAAAGTTTTAAAAAGCACGGGTTTCGCTATTGTTTAGCTCTTTAGATCTTTTGTTTCGCTACGTTCTCGCTTTCGTCGCCGTCGTGGTTTTTTTCTAAAAAGGGCCTTAAGATCCGAGGACAGCGAGGTCGTTAACTTGGGGGAATGGGGAGAGGTCGCCGTCGTAAGGCGCGAAAAATAACCTTAAGAACACTCGTAGAAGATGCAGTCTGCTCCACAACAGGCAATTCTCCTTCTTTCCACTTCTGAACGCGATAATTTTGTTTACGCAAATATGCAATTGTGTCACCTCCACTTCTACTGCTTTTTTTTGCTTTGGTTTCACTTCTTCTTCCTCTTCATTCCGCTGCCTTTCCTGTGTTCCGCTCAGGTTTTCTACAGCCTCTGTTTCTCATTTCCGCTGCTTTTGCGTTGTCAGTTTTCTTCTTATCGTTTTCTACGGTTTCTTCAGCTGCGGCTGCGGCTATTTCTTCCAGAGCCTTTTCCAACCTACTCAAATGACATTCAATTCCACTTGCCTTCTCTTCTTCTTTCATCTTTGTTTTAAATTTCTCGCTCAGCAGTATGTTTCTTTCTCCAACAGCAAGCTCACTGACTTTGAATCTGAAAAACTACAATAATGTTTAGCTGCAGAGATTTTTTTCCTTAAACAAACTCGGGTAAATCATTTAGATTAAATTCCTGGTTTAGTTTTAATAATCATTACGAATATGAACTGAGAACAACTTACTGGACTGTCTTATTTGAACTCGTCTCCATTTCAGCCTATTTGAGTCACGAAGTTTTGAAGCTGTTTAGAGGGAGAAAGAAACTTCGGTCAGGAAAAATGTTGACAGTTCATTATATATTGAAAATATACGATAAGTTCATTTGAAATGACCTTAAAGTAAAAGAAACTTACTTACGTTTTAGACAAAAGACAAACACTTCGTTTTGACGTCGCAGACAACACAGCTACGGTGGAAAACTTCGCGCACCGGCTACCGGAAATGCGCCAGCAAATATTTTAAGCTTCCGCTCGCCGTCTTCCCTAAAGTCCCTATTTGCGGATCGGTTTACGTCAATCTGTCGGGCCCTACATTAATTGAGGCTTTCATCCACCATTTCGCCATTATCGATGACTAACACGTCAATGTTGCGTGCGTTTGAACTTGATTCCAGATAATTCTGGGCATTTCAATCGGCCACCCACGCATGTACAATGTAGCCATTCAGAGTATGGAGTTACCGTGTTTTTTGACCGAAATCTGGCAGCTCTTGTTCAATAGAGAACAATACGAGTCAGAATAGGATTATGATTTTGCATGTTCACCCCCAACTATCTCGAATACATAGAGATTATTCTATGGAAAGTGCGTACGAACGAGTTTTATTCACGGGTTGCGATACACCACAAAAAAAATGAGCAAGTGAGCGCAGCGAATGAATAAGTATTTTGATGCATCGCACTCTCCATGATATGAAGTTTTTATTTCATTCATACTTAGATTTTTTCTCATTGAACAAAAAATTTCAAAGATTGAAAGTAGACGACTTTTCAACGACGAGTGTGAAAGAAGACGATTTTATCGAGCTTTTGACTTTTAAAATGTAATAGTGTTATCTATGGAACATGACTTGAATAGTGAAAGTCAAGGTAAAAAGCGTTTGTAGAGAGACCGCCTAAAAACGCAAAATTTAAATATTAAGATATGGATGCTGAGTATTTAAGGTTGCCTACGACGTAGCTCTTGTGTTTGTCTACATTCCTCTTTGATAAAGAGTCAGTGTAACCATCTGAAATATTTAACGTTTAGTTCAAGTTCAATTCCTGAGGAGGACCACATTTGAAAGCATACATATGATGTCATTGTTCTTTCTTAGCCTTGCTCTAATGGTTTCTCAGAGTGGTATTTTGTCGGCTGAGTTTCCTTTTCTAAAGAAGAAAATGAATCCACAAAAAGTCACAAATCATATTTAGCTCAACACCTGTGCTGGGTTGTGGAAGCAGGCGAAGACGAGCAGCGGTGATCCTGATTGCTATCGTTGCAGCCATACTCCCCGAAATTGTCTTCCTTGTCGATGAGTCCTCCTGCTCCTCCATCAAATTCACATCCCCTCTCAATGCTATCACAAACCCTTATGTGCCAGGATGCCTCCTCTGACTTTTCCAATTTTTGCTTTGCTCTTCAATATGAGGCAAATACTTCCACCTTTATATCACTCAAAACAATTCAACTAAAAGAGACCAGAAACAATGAAAAGAGCTCGCCATGAGGTGTTTTTCATCGAGAAAGATCGACACTTACAGTTGCATGTCAACGCTTGTTGTCTCCACAATTAGAAGGAAAAAAATTGACCACGGTATTTCCGTATGTTTTCCTTGAGTGTGATTCAGTTGAATAGCCTTTTTTTCTTTTAGTACTCCTCAGAAGTGTCTTAATAGCTAAAAGAAAAAAGGAGTTTAACTTTTTTTTTCCTTTTTTTTTTTTTAAATTCGTGGAAGGATATACGTCGAAATGTGTCTTTTAATTATCTTTAGAATAGTGATCACAAAAAAAACAAGTAATTTCACAACAAGAAGCGGTAGAGACCAGAGACAGACAAAGGAGATCGCCAATAGTCTTTTAATCTTTAAATTGTCTTTCATTCAGAAATATAGATACTTACAGCTATGTGACAAAACTCATTCTCTCGCTATTGAAAATTTTCCTTCGTTTCCATAGAGGAATTGACTTTGTTACAGTTAAAAGAGGCAGTTGAACACGAATTATGAATGATGGTCGATCCGGCTCCAGCTCTTTATTTTTGGCTGAACTCTCTATAAAGGAGTCCACAAATGCAAAGGTTCAAAAACTGAAAAACAGTCCCATTGGAAATTACGTCACTCAACCTCCTTACTTTTGTATCCGCCACCTTTAATGATATTTCAACTGGGTTTCTTTTAGGTTATTTGTATACTAAAGGAGCTGAATGTTTGGAATGACGTTTTTAAGCAGTATCAGTACGCAAACAGAAAAAAATAGAAAAACAATTTAAGGAAACGGTACAGAAACAATCAAATTTAATTTACACCACGCACAAAACTAGTGTCCCTGGTTGGTACAGTGTCGTTTCTCAAAAAGCGCTTCATCTTCATCCCTTGGGCCTCCATCATGCTGTTTAATATGGACAAGTTTTGCTCATAGCATAATTGTTCAAAATTTCCCCAACAAAGCGACGTTTACGACCAAGTTGGATCGTTACGATCGTGTCTTTGTCTGCAGACAAATTTCACCCATTTTCCTCTCACAATGTGGATCGTTCGGGAACTGAAACATTCTATGCCCGGTGCCGGAACGATCTATTGTGACAGCTTTGCTGGTCAGAGCCGGGGCACCAGCAACACAATATCGCCCTCGTTGCCGAATTCGACTGAATTCGATTTTATGTTACCAAAGTGACGTCAGCGGTTTTTTGTCAAATGGTACTTTGGCCGCGCAATTCGAATACCTTTTTTGAGGGGAAAATAAGATGATGTCTCACATTATGTACAACAATCCTGAATGACGTTTACACTTCACTGGTGCTTCTCTTGACAAACACCTGCTCCGACAACTATACCTACTTCATCTCCTACATTTTAAACATTTCAAAAATTGTTCTAAGAAGAAATGTGCAATGTTATTAAGTAAGCAGTGATCCTAACGAGGCACTTAAGTACCTTAGTCCTTGTCAAAGAGAGGCTGTTGAGGGATTCTCACAGTTATGTATCGAGTCCCTAATATTAAAATCAAGCAAAGCTGTACATATTTATCACCAAGGAGAAATTACTAATATCACTGCCACTAAGTAAATACCATTTCTCCTCACTGTACGGATTTTTAAAGCGAAATCAAGAAACCTAAACTTAAAGCTTGGTTTTACAAATGATCAAACTAACGAAGCCGAAGCTAATTTTCAAAAAAAAGAAAAGTAAAGTAAAAGTTAAGAGAAAACGGTTGATTGACCGAGTCAAGAAAATGTCGCCCTACGACGAGAAAACATGTCATTATTAAATTAATAGCGTACGGAGGTATTTAAACATCTCTGAATCTAAACACAAGCATTTCAACTTACGATTACTCACTTGCTTGAAAATAATTTGCATAAATCAACTAATGGTGAGCTCTGAATGTGTTTTCAAAGACGAATATAAAAAAAGGCCAATTTTATCGACCTTTCACTTTTAAGGTGTAAGTGTATTATCTATTGAACATTACATGAAAAGATGAAAGTGCAGGTAAAGAGTGTTTGCTCAGAGACCGCCTAATTCCTTCAATTATTGAAATATGGACGCTGTGTATCTAAGGTCTAAGGTTGCTTATGACGTCACTCTTGTGCATGTCTGCATTCCTATATGATAAAGGGTCAGTGTAACTATCTGAAATATTAAACGTTTAGTTCAAGTTCAACTCCTAATTGGACCAAACTTTGAGGCACTTGATGTCATTGTTAGTTCTTAGCCTTGCTCCGATGTTTTCCTACTTTCAGTTGGCTGTCTTTCCTCTTCTGTGAAAGGAAATAAATTTGCAAAAAGGTTACTCGTCACATTTAGCTCCAAACCAATGCTGCGTTGTAGAAGCAGGAGAAAACGAGCAGCGGTGATCCGGATTTGAGAAATTTTTGTCAAATTTTCCGAAATTGTTTTCATCGGAGACTCCACCTGGTGTTCCATTAAATTCACATCCATTTTTTATGCTATTGTAACTTCTTATGTGCCAGGACACATCTTCCTTCTGTTTTGTGAAAGCGGTGCAATTAGAACAATAAATTCCTCGGATATTGACATATTCGTACATCTGGCAGGTGTTCCAGGTACCAAAAATGTCATGACCTGCCAACTTAGCGCGTGCGTAGTCCGTATACTGCAGGCCATCCGTAGAAAAGTTACAAGTTGCTCTCAGATATGTAGAGTGATTAGCAAGATACTGCATCTGTGATAAGGATAGTCGGAACTCGTTCCAATTTACTTCCCCCTCTTCAATATCAATCTCAAGGTTTTTGCCAAACCCTGCATAATTGAAGGTATTTCTCTTGGAAAAGGAAAACGATTGTATTAACGTCCATACAAAGCCAGGTTCAGACTGCAAGTCACAGTAAACAGAAAACCGTTCATTGTCTGAATTTGAGATGTCGTATTTTCCTGATGTCGAGGCACCGTTCTCAGCTATGTCTTTGCAGCTTCTCGGATGTTTCATCTTCTTCTCACACCGCTGACCAGAGTATGTGTTAGGACAGGTACAGTTAAACCTGGTGCTGTGAGTGTCACAAATCTCCTGACATACCCCTCCATTGAGACAAGGATTGGTGCGGCAGCATCTGTTGATGCAATGATGCTTCTCGGGTGCGTATCTGTCTCCACCCTACAGCAAGATTAAAATAATTTTTTAGCTCACCATGCTCATCGAATTGGGTTGGCATGTACTTTTGAGCAACCATCGACAAATCTCACCGGAATCGGATCGAATTGATAACAAACAGTGCGAGCAAAGTACGTATGCGTGCAACACATAGCGGGGTGCCAGAATGGAGATGAAATGTCCCTCGAAATTAGATCTGTAATGCAGTAATACAGCAATGGTTAAGTCAGTGATGTCTTTAAGAAATTTGTAGTGGCTTCTCTTCTGCCGTTCCCTTCGCATTACAACATGGCCGTTAAGGAAAAAGTTTGCGAGAGAGAGAATGGACCCAATCTTCTCTCAGTCAAATCAGTTTGTTTTTGTTTTGTCTAGACCAATCATATCGCAGACAAAACAGTGTGCACAAAATTGTCTTTGGCCCGGACTGACATATAACACACCTCTTTTTTAAGGAGTACCAGAAAACTTGATCATGTGGGAATATTTATTTTATTTACGAAAGTTGATAAATAAATGAATAAGGAATTAAATGAACAGTGTATCTCACCTTCACCGTGTAGCTCCTCACCAAATCGTAATAATTTCCTCCTTGCATCCATTTCATCGCCGCTGGCTCCATGTCTTTATTAGCAACGTTAAGTTCGCAGTTATTTTCTTTGGAGCGAGGGAAATAGTTCATAGATACACACAGGCAGTCATCTTTGCACTTCAAGTGACACTGGATGGCATTGGGCACTGTTAATCTTTGAAACACGTGACCCTTAAGAATGTGATTATGGACGACATCTTCATCGATAGCAAACTTGAAGTTTTGACAATTTACCGCTTTCTTTGCCACAGAGGAGAGTGTCAAATTGAATACAAACAGCATGACTTGGAGGTATTGTACGATGCCCATAGCAATGGCACTATTAATATGAAGAAAGAAGAAGATACATGATTATTACCTCTGACAAGCATGGGGTAATCTGGAACGAAATGAATCGATATTTCGGTCTCTTTCTTAAAAGCGACCTCCATTGATAAAAATTCATGATATCAAACATTTGCTCATTTGTGGAAAATGCATGGATGCATTTTTCTGATTAACTATGAAATTGTTTCCCTTAAAGCGTTAACCATAATATATATTTTTTTTAATTGCAACGGAAAGAAAATAATCGTTAGCAAAAAAATTGCCAAATTTTGGTCGTTAGCCGTAAGAGCCATTACCATATTAGACCTTCTTCTGATTCAGTAAACGTTTTGGAAGACAGAAAAGAGTGTATTCGTCTCGCTGTGAAGTCGATCTTCACTACAGAATCACCTATTTGCGGAATTTCGAAAAGAAGACTAGGCAAACATTCAAGCCCAAACGAAATTGCTCCTCGATGGTTTCTGCAAGGAATACTCCACAAAAGGAGCCGTAAACGTTCCCTGCAGTTTAACCTAAGCTTTTTTTTCCATTTCGAGGCTAGAATGATCGGAACGAGACAAAATTAACTTTTACTCGACGGTTTCGCTAGATAGCTGGTAGTAATCCGAATGATAAGATCGACACGCCGTCCCGGCATTCCAGGAGAGAAATCAAGGTTGAAGTACCCGCAGCCACCACAATCTTTACTTTCCATGAATCGAGTAAACATTTTAAAAGATAAAAAGATCTGTCAAATGTAAAATTCTTCAGTTTATTTTAATAACTTTCGATTCTAACTCGTCACATTAACTAGTTTTGGTCTCACTTTTTATAACCAACGAAACAGGTATTTGACAAGGGAAAAATTAGCATAACACGTCACGCAATACATCAGGTTGATTTTGATGGCCGCAGGGAAATGTTGAGTTTGTCACTCAAAACCGCTGTGTTCCGTAACAGCGTTTAATCATTTATGATGGAAACAAATTTGCAGAAAGGAGGGCCAGTTCATCCTGTTCCTTATGCAAATCTCGGGAGAAACTGCAAGAATTCCTTCAAAGTACATGCCTGTTGTTTTGGAAATAACACTGTAACGTATTTTAATGTCTGACCAGAGTGCCAAATTTTATTCTTTAATTTTGATCTTCTTCACACTGTGCGTATTTGATGACCTGATGTTTCAACGAAAATTATCGAGAAGGCCCGTTATAATCACATTTATTTACTTTGTAAGTCACGCAAGCGCTCTAGCGTCACGATCGATCACGTTTACGCAACGTTTTAGGACAACTCGGCATCTAACCTCCATTCAGTTGTTATGAAAACCTAAAATCCTTAGCGTAAAAGATAAAAAAACCCAGTTTGAACATTCCAAAGGAGATCTTAGTAAATTTTCAGAATTATGCAAATAATCTTTGACACGAGCGCAATTTTTGAATTATTAGAAGCGCAAATTGAGAAAATTAAACACATGGATTTGCGTTGTTTTAAGATGTTGGTGGATGAAAATTAGAGATATAACCGCGGGTTTGAGGCAATCTGTAACATCATTGGTCTATAAGCTATTCACTGACATGCCTTTTTAGCCCGATTTACGCCTGCATTTTGAGAATTCTTTTGAACAAATAGGCGAATTTTTGATACTCAAATTAAGGTCGATATTCAAATTAAGGTCGAAGAGGAGGGTCTCCTCTGATCACGCTGGTTTGAAAAATATTTCAGGTGAAGTTTCCATATTTTGTCTGTGAACTAACTGAATACATCTTGTAACTTGTAGCAAGATGGAATCCCGTGAGCTACATTATTGCAGTCGCTGTGCACAAAATCTGTGAAATTCACACTTTCGATCGCTATCTACTTTCGATCGCTGATCTAGCCAAAAATCATTTTTTGGCTTGTGGCAACGCAAAAAAAAAGAGAATTGGATAACAACTACACTATTCTGGAAACATGTGTCTTAAACCCTTTTCATGGGCAAAAAAGAAAAGAAAAACTTTTTTTCCGACGGGAAGTCGAGAGGACTGCTCTTAGCGAGAGTGGCACCTTACAAAGATGCCCGTGTGGAGGCCGTTAACAAATTAAAAAGAAAAAAGATCTGCGTATGACTTTTCTACGGTGTGCGGTGATCTGAAGCATAAAAAAAATTAATAAAAGTTGGAGTCCCGTGACAACTGACAACATATATAAAAACTACTTACCAAAAGAAACTCAGTGACATTGAATTAGACATTCAATACTGGACTACTGTTTAGACCATTGTGATCTTTCGCCATAATGTATATAACATGCGATAAACAAATAGAACCTTTTCGCAAATACCAGATGCTTCAGATGTGCGCGAAAACTCACACATAAATGACATTCAACAAAAACACTAAAGTTCTGTCTCCAAATTTTTCCACCCATTTTATTGCGAAAAGTTGCGTAAAATATATCGATTTTTAAGATAGAAAGCCATGTGATATAAGAAAGTTTTCAAGCCGGCATATACGTTATGAACGATGTCTGATGAATCACACTTAAACCTAGATGTAAACATGAATTGGTTAGATAATGTTTCTTTCCAAAACAATTTATTGTTGATATGATTTCTCCAGTCTGGTAACTGCCAACGGAAAATTCATAATAATTATAGCTAAGAGTTAGAGTGCACTTCGTGATTAGGGAGTGACTTGAGTAAATTTAGCTTCAAATCCCTTTCCACACTTTACATGGCGTCTCACGGTTTTCCTTGAGAAGAATTATGGGGAAGAAAATGATGCTTGCACCTTGCACCTTGCACCTTGCACAGCATTTTCTGTAAAATCACTCTACTAATTTAATAGATAAACCGTGATATTATTTTCATCTTAAGATTTCTCCCTTTTATAATATACCTTGAGTGTACTTGTATTTGGTTTGGTGACCTAAAGCTTTCTACTCCGCCGTTGTTAAAGTCCTGTGAAAATTTTCCTACATAAACTGGTCATTCGGCTGGCATTGGATGCTTAAACGCAAACAGTTATATTAACGTTTTTATCTAGATTAAAAACAGATTTTATCTTGTTGAGCTGGCTGTCCAAATAGGAATTATCTCAACTTACCTCCTCTTTCCGGCCTCCTCTGCCTTTTCCAATTTTGGCTTTGCTCCTCGATACGCGGTGAAGACTTTCACCTTTTTATCACTGAATACAATTAAACTTCATAATTAGAAACGGAAGAGAGCATAAACAAAGAATGGAGGTTGCCATCACCAAAATAAAGATACTTACAGCTGGGTGCCAAAAGTTATTGTCCCCCTATTAAAAGGAAAAAATTTCGTACGTTTCCACAAAGGAATTAATTTTGCTACTGTTAAATAGCTTGAAAAAGGCAGGTGAAAATTTTACATGAATTATCAATGATGGTCCATCCGGCTCCTGCTTTTTAATTTTGGCTGAACGCTGATAGAGGGGCTCACAAATAAAATTTCTTAACTTTAAAAATTTAAATTTAAATCTCTTAACTTTAAGAAGTAATATTGTTCTTTACGCTCCTATAAGCATCACTCTTCTAACGTTTGGCTCAAAGAAACAAAAGACTGCTATGAATTCTATGATTATCTCGCGCGTGTTTATCAAGGTTTGTCAATTATTAAAGACTAACTATTTATACCTCTGAAAGGACCTCGATCTCATACCCCTCTATTCCGATAACGGCTACAACTCTGGGGGAAGATCTTGCCTTTCTGAAAAACATAGTCTATTTTCTTTACGGGTTGATATATGAACACAAAGTTCACGAGTTTTTTGACCTCCTTCCCCTTGGTTTTAAATTCAAGTTTAATAGAGTTCCGACTCCCTCCTGGGCTTTTATAATTCTGACCGTTTATTCAAAGTGTTTTTAAGAATAAAAATGTGGCTAAACGAAGATGTTGTTTCTTTCAGTAGACATGTGTACTTTGTCATAAGGTTTTAGAATTGTTACGAGACGTTTTCAAACTAATCGACTTTCAGTAACTTTGAAGGCAAATATCTTTCTCAAAATGAAGTGGAACTTTGTATTCGAAACATTTTATTTGATTAATTTTTATTGCTGAGTTGCAAGCGTTCCCCTACGACCGAAAAGTTAATTCAGGATACGGAAAAAAAGTTTGCTTAAATATGAGTGAACTGTAAATACGAGCCTGTTTTGAAAGGTTATGTGTCTTTTTGTGCCCATTGTACAACAAATATAGGCTGATATTTGGATCAGAAAATGTAGGGGTACACTTTCAGGTTGTTTAATGGCACGAATAATTTTCATTTTCTTTTTTTTCTGAGTCTTTAAAGGAGAAGGTGTTATTAATTTTTTATTAGCCTTTCCACGGCTTAAAGATTTTTAAATAATTTGGAATTTTTTGTTTTCAATTTGTTTTCTCGAGTTTGTTCGACAATTCACTGCTTGCCTCTAAATCTCTCTTTTCCCTTTTCTTTCATCCGTGAGAAAGCGCGAGTCTCGAACTCGAGTCTGCCTGAGGTAAGAAAAAAATTTGAATTGAGAAATGATAAGCGAGAATTTCGTATGCGGCTATGCTACTTGGAATATGAAATTATATTTTCATATCTTTTTTACCTAACAGTAACTTATGACATAGATCCTCTAACCTTTCGCGAAATGTCAGCCGTAGAATGATTACGCCGTTGCAATGCAGTCGCGACACCAAATTGTCACAAGACTTTTGTAGACCAGCGACCTTGTCGGAAAACTCCTCACCTGGTTAAAGCGAAACTTTTATGCGCTGATAATTACTTTCTCCTTATTAATGCATGAATAGGAACGTTCGAGATCTGTAGTTTATGATAATTATTGTAATTCAAAAAAATGTTCTGTTAGCTCGGATTAAAACAGTCAGACGTTTCTCTTAAAACGTCTCAATCTACATCACTTTTTTCAGTGGACACCGCCCTGTAATTAAGCCTGAGTCACACAATTTGGCATTTTAGTAATTAGAGCATGTCTTGAAATGAACTATTGTTTTTAGGTGAACGAAATGGAAATAACACTAAAACGCTGTTTGTAGGCAGTTCACAAGCCAATGACGGAATATGCATATCTAGCATGAGCTGACTATTTAAGTCACATCTCAGACTTCATTCATTTACTCGTTCTTTCTTCAACTCAATTTGTAGTTGGGCGCACGCAATTTTATGAGCCTTTTATGAAAAAGCGTAGTAAGCTAATAAAACTTTAATATTGCTGTAAGGTGGAGACAAATACAACAAGGCTGAGAGACTCAATCTATTTTTCATAGATGTTGGAAAGAATTTAGCCGAAAGGTTTCCAAGTGCTTGCAATCTGCACTTGGACCTGACGGTTTTTTTGCTGGTAGCCTGCCTATTGCAGGCTCTTCGGCTGCAGCTGGGCTCTCTACTGTGTTCAAGCACTGTTTAACTACTATTAGCTCCCCTGCGTTGTCCAAAATGGCAAAGATTAATGCAATCTTTTAAAAAGGCCACAAAATGGAAGTTTCAAATAACAGACCCATATCTCTTCTATCCATCCAAGTAAGCTTCTCGAAAGCTAGGTGTGTCACATTATCGATGAACATCTTGCTGATTGCAAAATACTTTGATGCATTTTTTAATTGTTTTCCTTAAAGCATTAACCGTAACATTTATCTTAATTGCAACGAAAAGAAAATAATCGTTCGCAGTAAAATTACCAAAATTTTAGCCGTTAGCCGTAAGAGTCGTTACCATATTAAGACCTTCTTCTGAGTCAGTAAGCGTTTTGAAAGACAGTAAAGAGTTTATTGGTCTCGCTGTGAAGTCGATCTTCATTACAGAACCACTTAGTTGCGGAATTTCGAATTTTCGAATTTCGAAAAGAAGATTAGGCAAACATTCGAAGGAAATTGCTCCTCGACGGTTTCTGTTAGGAATGCTCTACAAAGGAGCCGTAAACGTTCTTTGCAGTTTAGCCTAGGCTGAACACAGTTTACAAATAACTGATTGTCAGCTCAAATGCTAAGCTGATTTCTCTTCATTGCCCAGGTTGCAATGGAGGGAGATATATTGGCAAATGGAACTGATGTTACAGTTAGCTGAATGCAAAGCTAAATGTCGAAGTATATCAAATCTCAGTGAAACAGCCGCTGCAATGAAATTTATCAAAAACTGACGTTCATGTATCAAATCGCCCAAGTTTGAGGAGTGTTTCTTGAAACGTAAAACTTTCCGTGTGTGTCCTTTATTTAAAAAGAAAAGCGTTTTGAAGATATGAGAGATCTCAGAACGTTTTGTGTTAGAAAGCCAAAAAAGGAAAACTCTACCCACCATCAATTATTAAAAGATCCTCTTTCAGCGATGCACTTATGAGTCTCTGCACTCTACAAAATCAACTCTAAGAACGATTTGGAATGTATTATTCACGCTTTAATATTTAAAGACGATCGCATTTTTTCTATTTACCATAAGAGTAAGCTTTCTTTCCATCGATGAATGAAAATATCTCAAGTTTCACCACACCTATAAATTTTGCAAACATATGGTTGGTTTCTTTTCCAGCCTTAAGAAAAGGAATAGAGTACAAACCATTCGGCTAAAAAACTTTGGTCTTATGTTGTATCCGTAGACTGGAAAACACATAAGTTCTGTCTGTGGAGCCAGTTAGTAATTATTCACCGAAGTGGGGATGAATAGGGGTGGACATTATCTCTATTATTTACATCGACACTCAGGTAAATGAATGTTTTGGTAGTTCCCAGACAGAGGCCAACAAATGTATTTACCGCGGGCAATAAACGATAAGCCTTGACTGTGCTCTGTCCTGTTATAAAGCACACGGGAAGCGGCTAGAGCACGAAAGAAGTGTAGGGAGAAACGCGAGACGTAGTCCAGCGTTTCCCCTCGCTTCTTGAGTGCTCTAGCCGCTTCCTAAGTGCTTTACAACAGAACAGAACACAGCCAAGGCTTCTCTATTTTTTTTTATTTTTATAATAAATCATCCCTTAAATTCCCCAAGCATTACTTTTAATTTTAAAAACAAACTTTATTTCCGAAGCGAACAACAATGTCGTCAGCCTGCTCTATACTTTCATAAATCAAGCAACAATAAGCCAATCAGAATCCCTGTTCAATGGTTCAATTAATCTGATTGTCTGTACAAGACTAAAGCTGCCAAAAATGTCAAACCACGAAAGTTAAAAAACCTTCAAAGTTCACATTCTGCGATAGTTTACAGACTTAAATAGTTCGGCAGGTCGAATTTAACACTTTTGTCGGAAGGTTTTTAGTCTCTAATACAGAATCTGAACATGAAATGTTCAGTGAACTTCAGCCGAATTGTGGCTCATAAAAACACGTAAGTTTTTCACATGACAAGTAGAAAACAAAGTGTTCAAGGCAAATTTTTTATGAATGAACGACAGCCGAATTCACCGGAACATGAAGATCGCTTGGGATGATGTGGCCTTCTACTCAACGCATCGGAAAGGATATCAGAGCAAGCCCTGATTTTTTTTCACTCGAAGGACGGCCGATGTAGTTTCTGAGGCATGATTCACTGCGATGTCCGGAGATCGCCATGACGAGCTAGCCGCGATGGACTCAGCATGATCACATTCGCTCTGACACCGTCTTGATTAGTATGAATTTTAACAGCTAGGCCAGTTTGGTTATATTTTTCATCATTCCTGTTTTGTTCTGTTTTGTTTTTGAACACAAAACTTTATATACTATACAAGTGATAGCTGTGTTTGATTTTTGTTACCGTACGTAAGCTCGCAATCTAACTGCGTGAAAACCTTTAAAACTCGGACTGTCCATTTTGTTTTCTCTTTGAGGATTTTCGTCTCTGCTCCCATTTCAATAACGTAAATTACGGTGCCTGGCATGTTTACAAACCTTGGTTGGGTTTGTCTGTTGCTACTTAGCGGCTCGCTTGTTCCGAAATTTCACTTTCAATTATGGTAAAAAAGCTAGAGAGAGGTCCCGGAAAAGGTTGGACATAGTACAATTTGG